TCTTCTTCTTCTTCTTCTTCTTCTTCTTCTTCTTCTTCTTCTTCTTCCTCTTCCTCTTCCTCTTCCTCTTCCTCTTCCTCTTCCTCTTCCCCTCCTCCTCCTCCTCCTCCTCGTCATTGTCATCATCATCATTATTTAGGTGTCTTGTTTTGTTTCCTCCTTCAGATATATCAGAGAAACAAAAATTTATACACAGTGGAAGCCAACAATGCACGACAATTGGTGGAAAGTGCAGCTCAAGACATTGAAAAACTCCTGAGTAACAGATCCACAGCCTTGGTGGTAAGTAGAACTTCACCTTTTCTTGTCCCGATTTTGAAAATGGATACCTAAATGTACTTCATTCTTCCCTTTCATCTTCCGATCTCATTAAAATACTTCATATGTTTGCATTTATTAAAGCTGTGACAATTCTTCAAACGTGCCAGAGGTTAAAACCCAGGAAGAGCATGTCCGAAGCACTTCTGAAGGATCAAAGCAGCCGCATCTTTTAAAGTGTACAGCTGCTTCAGAAATCTAGCCAAATTGTGGGCGTTCCCAGCCACATTGTGGGTCATCCTCGACTTACAATGGTTTGTTTAGTGACCAAAGTTACAATGGCACTGAAAAAAAGTCCCTTCTGACTGATTTTCACTCTTAATGACCGTTGTATCATCCCTGTGGTCACATGATCAAAATCGGGATGCTCAGCAATTGATTCATATTTATGACAGTTGCAGCATCCTGGTGGGGGTGGTGTCATGTGATTTCCCTTTTGCAGATTCACTTAACAACTGGATTGCTACCTTAACAATTGCAGTGATTCACTTAACAATGGTGGCAAGAAAAAACGTAAAATGGGACAAAAAATCACTTAACAAATTTTTCACTTAGCGATGTGAATTTTGGTCATGAGTCGAGGACTCCCTGTACTCTTCCCTCCCTATGTCTCCCCGGGCAAGGTGGTTTTGGTTACAGAGGGAGCCAAGAAGAACTTCTGAAGTAGCTGGACAAGGCTAGCCAAAGACATGGCTGCTTTAATGAACCTGAAAGAGGTGCTTCATTAAATGTGGGATTGACAATCTGTAATGCTGTTGAGTGGCAATTGCAGAACTTAGAACAGCAGAGCAGTGGATATGTGATGGACAGCTAGCAATGTGGTGTGTTTTCACACACACTATGCAATTGTTGTGAGGTATAAGATGGTATCAAAAGAGAGGCTGGATTGTTATATGTAGAAATTACGTATTATGAGTTATACCTGTAAAAATGAAGAACAGAAGGGAAGCCATACTTATCCAATATTTGAACTATGCAGTGATTATTGGACAGTTATATAACTATATCTAATAAACATGTACTATTTTGTCAGGCTTTTGGGGTAGAACATGGGCCTGTACTTTTTGGCATAAGGATACGAGAAGGAGATACTAGGTTATCATGGCCCGAAAGGAACTGGTTAATGATCTATTGTATTATAGAAGGTCATAACAGGACCATAACAGGAAGACAAGCCATAAGAACAAGGGTAGTTTCCAAGGACAAGGAAACAGGTGTTACACTACAATAATATGGTTGTAGCATAGGGAAATATGTAGCTTGGATAGATTGTGAACCCAGGAAAGGGGCAGAGACTGTATACTTGAACCTGTATATAAACCCCAGCCCTCCTGGGGAAAATGACTTCTGCCATGAGCAGAATTCCCTTTTGCAAAAGCTTAATAATAAAGCTCTTATATATTGTTCACATGTCTCCAGATTTCCATTTGATTATTACCACATTTAAAAGAAGCATGGATTAAGGATACAACAACACAGAGTGGGCAATATGCAAACAAAAATAAGTTGGAAACTTAATAATTGATAAAAGAACTTAGTGTTGTACAGCTGGGATGCAAGTGATTAAGATAAGGTAGTTTGGAGATCATCTCCATATTCCACAGGACTCATATTTCAAAAGAATTTGCTGGTTCAAATATCAGTATTTGTGTTCAGTTCCACTTGAGAATTCATGAATATCCTTCAGTGTCCGTGGTCCAGACTGTGGTTGTGTATTTCTGTGGTGCAAAATCAGCTCTTTTTTTTTTTTTTGCATAAAAGGGCAGATGCTTCGATTTTGATTGACAGGTCACCATTCCACCCTCCCAGCTGCCAAATAGCTGATGGGATATTGATATTGTCAAAGCACATGGATTTTCTAGATTCCCAACCTAATTAAATATCTCAAAACCCAAGAAGACAATGCAAAATATGATAGCAAGTTGAAGATGAATTATGTCTTGCATAAATACATTCCAGTGCTTTGGGAAAAATTTTGAGAGATCGGGGGAGGTTAGCAATGTAAAATGCATTACACATAATATTGTCAGTTTGTAACATTGATAATTCTCAATTTTTTTTTCATGGTAGGTAGTACTGTTACCAGAACTACAATTTAATCCTTAATTGTACTTATTTCCTCCCATCCCTAGTCATAGATAAAGTTAATGAGCTGACTTGCAAACTATTGCTGACTTTGTTTCTTACTATGTGGAAAACCAGAAACAAATGTTTAGGGCATTTCCAAGAAATTTCCTGCACTTAACTGTTTTGTGTGTCGTAAGGAAAAGTGTACAGTGATCTACTTGTGGGACTGACCATAACCGATAAACAACTTGGGAGGAAAGCTGTTATTAATTCAAATCATCTCTATTGCTGACAGAATATCTGTAACAGAATATCTTAATTACTACTTTAGTTGCACCATTACAACAGCCTTTGTTTCCTTTAGAAGAGAATGTATGTAGCTCAGGGTTGAACTGTGAGGTCTTTGAGCTTCGTTGCTTTCTTGCAGACATTTCATTACCTAACTAGGTAGCATCATCAGTGCTAGAAGGGGGTGTGGTTTGCTCTTTTTTTACTAGATATTATCTAGTTGGGTATTGAAAGTCTACAAGAAAGCAACCAAACTTCAAGGGTGCCACAGTCATAATATAAGAGGGTTGTTGATTTTATTTAATAACGTTGATTCCTGTTGGAATCCTCTGGCTCAGCATTGAGCTTAAGAAGACCACACCTTCTGCCCAAACTCAAAAAGGTAGTTTGTTTGCTCACCCCTTTCCTCTTCCCTTACCACCTTTCCTTGAATTTTAAATTCAAAACCAGTCCATCACCTTCCCTGAAATTAATTGAAAGAATTAATTTCTCCACACTCAGATGCCCGATTGATGTGCTTGTAACTACACTGGTTGACCTTCCCCCTCTTTCTCTTTCTATCTTTCTCTTGTTGTATGTGAGAGACAGAAACAGACACACACAGAGAGAAACAGAGACAGAGAAAGAGAGACACAGACAGACAGACAGACAGACAGACAGACACACACACACACAGAGAGAGACTGAGAAAGAGAAGGAAGGAAGGAAGGAAGAAAAAAGAAAGAAAGAAAGAAAGAAAGAAAGAAAGAAAGAAAGAAAGAAAGAAAGAAAATGATAGATAGAAAGAGAGAGAGAGAGACAGAGAGACAGAGAAAGAGAAAAGAGAGAAAGAAAAAATAAAGACAAGGAGAGAGGCAGAGAGAGAGAGAAAGAAGAGAGGGAAAGAGAGAGACAGAGAAAGAGAGAAGGAAAAAGAGAGAGAGAAAGAGGCAGAGACAGACAAAGAGAGAGAGAGAGATAGACACACAGAGACAGAGAGAGAGAAAGAAAGAAAGAGAAAAAGACAGAGACAGAGAAAGATAAGAAAGAGAGAAAGAGGGAGAAAGAGAAAAAGAGATAGAAAGAGAGAGAGAGAGAGATAGAAAGAGAAGAGGGAGAGAAAATAAAATGAAAGAAAGAGAGAGGCAGAGAGAAAGAGAAGAGATAGAGAAAAAGAGAAGGAGAAAAATAGAGAGAAAAAGAGAGAGAACGAGGCAGAGAAAGAGAGACAGAGAAAGAGAGATAGATAGACAGAGAGATAGACAAAGGAGACATTTCTCATTCTTTGTGACTTGTAGCCTATTTTGTGCAGGTGCACACAGAAGTAACACCTTGCCCTTCGGTTGTTGTGGAACAGCTGGAGGAGTGAATGCATTTGTGACAAAAAGAGGCTGTCTACTTCTCCTGCACCTCTTAACATTCAGGTCACAGAAGAGCGTCTGGGATGTGTGGAGGAAAACATTATGAGTCACCCAAGAGTCATAATCCTGAACCAGAAAAGTCAGCCTTTATCACTCAACTTAGTGCACTGCTGTCCGTGGTGCTGAAGATAAGATGGTCCTTAACATTATACCGGTATGGCCAGGATTGAAAATCTTAGATAACTAAACTCACTTTAAGATAAACCTTTCAAAACTGTATTGTTGGACCCTGCTTTCTACACCCTTTTAAACTTGCACTGGGGTGGAGAGGGGAGGAAGCTGTTTTGTCACCATCACACAAGGAAGATCTCTTTCATTTCTGTGTTCCAATCTCTAAACTTGTTTTGTGTTTGCTGGTCTGAACTGCAAGCTGATTTGTCATTAGGAGGTTCCTTAGCTTCTCGTGTCTTACCCTCCGGGGTAGTTTGTTAAGCTGGTGGCACTCCCTTGTTGTCTTCTGAACCTGAACGGCGTCTTTAAACTGATGTTTCCAGCTGGCTTTTTTTGTGTGTGTGTGTGTTCTGGAGTAATTTCCCTCTGGCCTGTGTGAGTTTTCTAAATCGCTGTTTGGTACAGTAGGGTGGTTTTTTAAAAAAATCTGCAACCCGGACATGTTTGCCTCTACAACTTTGTCTCTGAAAAGAGGGGAAGACACTGCATGTAATTCCCAGCTTCCCTAATCGCTTACTCGGGGTTTATGGAGGAGCACTGACTGGTCTTAAAGGATTAATTAAGAGTTGAATTCTGGAGGGGAATATGATGCAAGAAAGCAGTTGGGTGATTGCTTTTGCCCTGAGGACTATGCCTTCCCTTAGAAGCTCCTGCCCTTAGCCTTAGCCAAGGGAATTTGCAAAATAAATCAGACTCACTAAACACAGCATACAAATAAAAGTCTGAGCAGGTTTAATTAAAAATAAGCAAGTAAACAAACAAACAAATAAATAAATAAATGTGACAAGTTCTTAATGAAGGGCAGTCTGTTCTCACCTTAAAAGACAGAAAAAATTAATGCCAGGGAAATTAACATTTTTACAAATGAATCTGAATTCTGTTCTGGATAACTGTAATTCATGGGGTGAAGTTAAGTTACCACTGTGTGTCTTATGAAGATTCTCAGTCATCCAGGTCAAGGTTGGCCCAGAGGTGCTTTTGAATCCAGTCAGAACTGAAGAAGCTTCTTGGATGAGAAGGAAAACATCTTCAAGGAAA